AATTTTGCAGCTTAAAGACTTATCACAAAGTGAACATAGGCAAGTGGTCACGCCAGAGCATTATCAACACTAGAGAAGATCTCTTGTAGTAGGCTCAATTTCTCCCTCCTCTCCACAGCAGGTTAATTTGGTCTGTTTTTGCAAGTTACAGAAGTGGAATCATCTAGCGTGTTCTATTTTTGACTGTGTTATTTTGGGCACCATTGTTTGTGAGATTTATCCATGTTGTGGCATGTAGGAATTGACCATTTATTTTCATTGCTGTATAGTTTTCCAAGGAATGAAATAATTACAATTTTTAGACTTAGATTACTGTTGATAGAACTAAAGGGTTAGTGTTACTTCTATTTTTTGGTTATTACAAGCTGCTGCTATTGTAGCTATATTGTAGCACAAATCTTTAGTGCCTTATCTGTGGCTTATCTTTGAGTCTTGGCTTTTACTTTACTAGCTAATGCTAAAGAGTATTTTAAAGTAGTTGCTCTAACTTAACACTTCTACCAGCTACTTGTGGGAGTTCTGTTGTTTATGTCACTGCCAGAACTTGGTGATATTAGTCTTTCTGGTAGGTGTGAAACTGTATTGCACTGTAGTTTTAGTTTTCATTTCTCTAATGAAAAATGGTATAGAGTACCTTTCTTTATGTTTTTTATTAGCCATTTGAATTTCCTTTGCAAATTTCTTCTTTATGTTTGTTGCTCAACTTTCCTCTGGGCTTTCTGCTTTTTCTTATTGATTTACCTCTTGTATATTTGAGTACAATCCCTTGGAACACACACACACACACACACACACACAGGTATATGTTCCAAAGGATTATACCTATATGCACATTTCTGTACAATAGATGTATAATATATAATGCTTTAGAAATTTCTCAACCACTCTGTAGCTTGCATATTACTCTTCTCATAGTGTTTTTTTATATTTTTAATTTCAGTGCAGTCCCAATTGTTATTTATTTCTCTTATGATCGGGATTTTTGATCCACTGGAGAATGCTTTTCTTACTTTATTATCAGGAAAATGTTCTTTTATGTTATTTTCTGGAAACTTCATTGTCTGAGCTTTCACATTTTGAGCGCTAGTCTATCTGGAATTGATTTTATGGTATAATGTGAGGAAAAGGACCATGTTATTTCCCTTCTCAATCTGGCTATCATATTTTTAATAGCATTGTATATCATGTTCTTGTAAGATAAGATTCAGTTTGGTAAAAATTTCAATTATCTCCAAATTGATCTACCTATTTAGTGCAATTCCGTTTGAAAGGTCGGCAGGTTTCTTGATGGAAAACAACAACCTCATCCTTAAATTCATTAGGAACTAAACAAGACTAAAAATAATTAAGACATTCCTAAGGGAAAACGAAGTAGGAATTGTGCTCTAGTAGCTATCAAGACTGACTACGAGAGTACAGTAATTAAGACCAGGTTATGGGAACTGGTGCTGTGGTGTAGCAGGTAAAGCTTCTGCCTGCAGTGCTAACATCCCATATGGGCACCGGTTCCAGACCCGGCTTCTCCACTTCTGATCCAGCTCTCTGCTATGGCCTGGGAAATCAGTACAAGATGGCCCAAATCCTTGGGCCCCTGCACCCTTGTGGGAGACCCATCAGAAGCTCCTGGCTCCTGGCTTTGGCCTGGCCCACCCTGGTCATAGTGGTCACTTGAGGAGTGAACCAGTGGATGGAATCTCTCTATCTCCTTCTCTCTCCCCCTCTCCCTCCCCTTTCCCCTCCCCCTCTCCCTCTCCCTCGCTCCCTCCCCCTCTCCCTCTCCCTCTCCCTCTGCCTCTGCCTCTGCCTCTGCCTCTGCCTCTGCCTCTGCCTCTCCTTCTCTCTCTGTGTAACTCTGACTTTCAAATAAATAAATAAATCTTTAAAAAAGAGTAGTGACAGAGAGAAAGGTCTTCCATCCTCTGGATCACTTCCCAAATGGCCGCAACAGCCAGAGCTGAGCCAATCCGAAGCCAGGAGCCAGGAGTTTCTACTGGGTCTCCCACGTGTGTGCAAGGGATACTGCTTTCCCAGGCACGTTAGCAAGGAGCTGGATTGGAAGTGGAGCCACTGGAGCTCAAACCAGCACCCATTTGGGATGTTGGTGCTGCAGGCCAGGGCTTTAACTCATTGTGTTACTGCCCCAGCTGGGGGTATATATTTAGGTAGCTTTGAAATGCATCATTTTAATGTGTGATATCCTTCAGTGTCTTGATTTGAATAGCTATAGAGTTTGAGAAAGGTCTATTCAAAGTTCAATTAAATGTATCATATTAAAGTATGCTAATTAAAGTATATAGTTCTAAACATCAGCCACATGGCTGAGGTTGTACCTAGAGTAGCTTATCTTGACTGCTGACAAATCTAACTAACCAGGCAAGAACTTGTTAACTTCCTCTGAAACTAATTGTGAGCAAATATTATGGATCTACTAGAGATACAAAATATAATCCACCTTTCTAGGAATGACAGAATTGCCTGATGATGACCAAACCAACACACAGAAAATAAGATGGGAAAAAATGGGCACTAGAAAACGGATTGGACAGATGTGTGGCCATGAGATATAGAACGTTGGAAAAGAGGCATCAGATTGGGCTCCTTTGTTAGCAAAGGATTTTTCAGAGGAGAGGTATTTGAGATATGCATGATTTTAATTTTTTATATCACATAAGACTTTTCAAGATTTTTGATTAACATTTGATAATTGTATATATTAATGGAGTAAATATTTAGACAGCAAGTACTGATCAAATTAGGGTAATTAGCATTTCCATCATATTGTTTCTGTATGTTTGGAGGCTTTGAATTCCTCTCTTCTAGTTGTTCATAAAATATAGAACTGATTATTGTGAACTTGAGTTGCTCCACTATGCTATGGAACATGAGACTGTCTTCTTTCTGTCTAATTTGATTTTAGTACTCATTATCTAATCTTTCTCTATCCACCCACCCCTCCTTTTCCAACCTCTAGTAATCTCTAGTCTACATTTAAATAGACTTTTTTGTGTGTGTTTTTAAGTTTCCACATATGAGAGAGAACATACAATATTTGTCTTTCTATGCCTGGCTTATTTCACTTAATGTAATATTCTTAGTTCTATCCATTTTGCTGCAAATGTCAGCCAACTGATTCTTGACAAGGGTGCCAAAAACATATAAGGGAGAAAAGACAGCCTCTTCAATAAATCGTGCTGGGAAAACTGGATATCCAGATGCAGAAAATTAAAACTTGACCCTATTTTTTACCCTATACAAAAATCAACTTGAATCAAAGACCCAGTTGTAAGGCCTGAAAATATTAAACATACTGGGAGAAAATATAGGGGAAACACTTCAAGACATTGGTATGGGTAATGACTTTGGGGGACAAGACAGTATAGACAACAAAAGCAAAAATATAAGTGAGAAGCTGCTGCATAGCAAAGGAAACAGCGATCAGAGAAAACGGGTATTTTTGTTGAGACTTGAAAACTAGGTGGGGTTTAGCAAAGTGAACAGGAGTAGGGTAGAGTTAGCAGCAGCATAGGAGGACATGAGCATAGAAGGACAGTGTTTGTCTGTGTGTATGTGCTGGTGGGGAGTGTGGACATGGTGCCAACAGCAGAGTGGACTGCAACATTTACATTGATAAGTAGTGGGAAAGTTTGGGCTAACAGATTTGGGACCACATAACGAAGAAATTTAAAAGAAGGGAAAGGAATTCAAGTTGACATGAAAGTCAGGAGACAGCTGAACTTAATCTGTCCTGTTTATTACACTACGTCCAGTGCACTAAAAAGTGCACAGCATGCAATTCTTATTCAATATACATTGTTTGAGTGACTAAAAATAGAAAGATTCAAAACCAAGCATCCAATCCATGCACTGGTTTAGGAGATATGATCCCTCCCGATAGAGCTATCACCTCCTACAGCAAATATTTTCAGGACCTTGGAGTTGCTGACATTGTTAAGAATATTTGACATCATAATGAGCAAATCATTTTAAATTCCATAAGAGAAATGTTTCATTGAGTAACCATTGCTCATTAATTTCCCTTAAAACAAAATGAAAGAGCAAGCATCCTCTCTGAACCCTAATCTCTGAATCCAATTGTATGTTGCCATGGGACCCCAAATCTCATTAAGTTGGGTGGTACTTAAGTGTTAATATGATCATATTAAGTGTTAAATTGATCATATAGGTAGGATTAAGTGTTAAAGGAATCATATAAATAAGATCAGGTGTCTGGTAATAATAATAAAATTAAAAAGGAGGGAAGGTTACAACATGGCAAGCATTCCACACAGCAGACTCAGAATGACAGTTGCTCTAAATAACACTCTGACCTCAGAATTAGCCCTTAAGGCATTCTGGTCTGGCTAAAAAGCCCATGAGAGCATTTCAGGCATGGAAAACCAAGACAGTGGCAATAAAAGAAAAAAAAATGTCCTAAATGAAGGATCTCTGTGAGTGAGACCCCAGAGGAAAGAAGGGGCCATCAACAAAGGATGTACTTTCTTTGAAGGGAGGAGAGAACTTCCACTTTGAATATGGCCTTGTCTAAATACTGATAGAGATTGTGGGCTCAAAAGGCATCTATAGCCTACACAGCTCATGTCAAGAGCCTTAAGTGTCACTGATGTCATACATAAGAGTGTTAATTGTTAAATTAACAACAGCAGTCACTGTGCACTTACTCCCCATGCAGGACCTATGTCCTCAATGAGTTGTGTTATGAGAATTAACCATAAAACTTGTTCTCAAACAGTTTTTGTGTGTGTGTGTGTGTGTGTGCGCGCAAATTGTTGAAATCTTTACTTAGTATAGAGTTGGTCTTCTGTATATAAAGTTAATTGAAAATGAATCTTAATGGGAATGGGACTAGGAATGGGAGAGGGAGGAGGAGGTGGGGTAGGAGTGGGTGTGGGAGGACAGGTTGGTGGGAAGAATCAGTATATTCCTAAAGTTGTACTTAGGAAATTTGTACTCATTAAATAAAAGGTTTCTTTGGGAAAAAAAAGAGACTGTAGAGATTTTCAACTTGGGGAAATACTGTGTGATTGACCTCTGTGTTTTCCCAAGAATAGAATCAATAATAAATGATATTTTTATTCGCAAGGGTTTAGGCTTCTGCCTCTCTGCACACTCAAGGTTAAGTTAATAAAATGTGTGTGGAAGTCTACAGCTCCATCTGTTCATTCCCGTACTCCAGAGAAGAACAAAGTAAATACCAGGCCCTGCGGGTTCTGCCTCATCATGCTTTACTAATCACCATTCCCCTCTGGCTGCCACCTGTCCTGGCTCCAGCTCAAAGACCCAGTGGAAACCTTCAGGGAAAGGTGAAATCCTTCATTAGAGGCTGCACAGCCCTACTTCCTGCTTCTAAACTGCTTCCTGCCCGAGGCCCTCTACCAGGAGTTGAGTGGGAGCCATCAAGTCCAGTAATTGGACCAATAGACACTGCTCTCTCATCCTCTGCCCACAGACATCAACCAGACCCCAGAGCCACTCATCAAATCTCCAAGCTGGGAGAGATCTGAGAGAGAGGCATTTTGCAGGTAAGGAGACTGACTGAGTGGGTTGCACAGGTATGCATGGCTAGCTAGCGACAGTGGTCCGAACCGAACTAAGACCTCTGCTCCCAGCTGCTGTTCCTGAACTTAACCATCTCGCTGTATTTCTGTCTTACTGTCACGTTGTAGCCATGGTTTCTGCCCTAATTTCAAATCAAAGCCACACACTTGTTAAAGAGTCAGTTTACAAGGCTGATTACCATTGCGTTACACAGAGTACAATCCCTTTCGTGGTGTTCCTTGGGTTGTCAAGCACGCGAGGCAGCCACCCAAAATGAATCAAAGCTGGAATGACTTGTGACTTCAGGGGCTCTTGGCTCACAAGGACTCCTCTCCAAGACATGTGGCCCCCAGACAAAATGTATGCAGAGGGTTGATTCGGAAACATAAGGAATGTTCTTTTCTCCAAAACTCATTGCCAATTTCCAGGAGTTTATGGAAAGCACTCTCAAGAAATGGGCTGCATTGCAGGGGGTAAGGCAGAGCATCTGGGACATCAAAGACCAGGAAATGCAAATGCCCAAATGTCCATCACCCCAGTGATGCGTGTGAAGGAGATTGTCTCACCCTGGCCAATATTTAATGCACCATTAACTCTGGAAAAGGCATGGAATCCAACATTTCTTTGATCCCTAGGTAAATCCCCAACCCAAAAAAGTCCAAATAGAACAGGTAACTTTAGCGGTTGAGTTGGAGCAGACACTTCTAGGACTCCTAGCCTAGTATTCTTTTCAATGTATTTGTGTTAAAAAATAAAGCAAGGCTGGCGCCACGGCTCAATAGGCTAATCCTCTACCTGCGGTGCCGGCACTCCGGGTTCTAGTCCCAATTGGGGCGCCGGATTCTGTCCTGGTTGCCCCTCTTCTAGTCCAGCTCTCTGCTGTGGCCAGGGAGTGCAGTGGAGGATGGCCCAGGTGCTTGGGCCCTGCACCCCATGGGAGACCAGGAGAAGCACCTGGCTCCTGGCTTCGGATCAGCGCGGTGCGCCGGCCGCAGCAGCCATTGGGGGGTGAACCAACCGAAAAGGAAGACCTTCTCTCTGTCTCTCTCTCTCACTGTCCACTCTGCCTGTCAAAAAAAATAAAAAAAAAAAAAAAAGCATTGAGTTGCAGGTAGATGTTATGTAATCAGATAAGATGACCCCAAAAGTTTGTTAACTATGGTTTTATTTATTTATTTATCTATCTATTTATTTATTTATTTTGACAGGCAGAGTGGACAGTGAGAGAGAGAGAGACAGAGAGAAAGGTCTTCCTTTGCTGTTGGTTCACCCTCCAATGGCCGCCGCGGCTGGCGCGCTGTGGCCAGTGCACTGTGCTGATCTGAAGGCAGGAGCCAGGTGCTTCTCCTGGTCTCCCATGGGGTGCAGGGCCCAAATACTTGGGCCATCCTCCACTGCCTTCCCGGGCCACAGCAGAGAGCTGGCCTGGAAGAGGAGCAACCAGGACAGAATCCAGCGCCCCGACCGGGACTAGAACCTGGTGTGCCAGCGCCGCAAGGCGGAGGATTAACTATGTTTTTAAGATTAACCTCTCAAATTCCTCCTAAAAGAATGTCACTCTGACATTACTAAAATCCCCTTCCCCCTGAAATAAAGGCACAAACTAGGTTCTCTGTACAGATTTTGAGACATTTTTTCTGCCTGCTTCAAGCCTCAAAAGAAAAGAGATGGAAAATATTGTATGGGGCTCCTGGGAAACCAAGAAGCTAGCTAGTTGGCCCATTATTTATGTCTCTCCCTTATGAAGAGCAGGAAAGAAATAAGATCCTATTCTACCTGAGGACCCTACCACCAGGACAAGGTAGCCCCAATTCCTGAAGAGTGGGTAGCATCACCAGGGGTGAACTAATTCATTTCTTTTCTCCTAAAGACGTACACCCATCACCATTCCAGATAAATACCTGCTTTGTCTGTTCTTTTTTTTTTTTTTTACAGGCAGAGTGGACAGTGAGAGAGAGAGAGACAGAGAGAAAGGTCTTCCTTTGCCGTTGGTTCACCCTCCAATGGCCGCCGCGGCTGGCGCACCGCGCTGATCCGAAGGCAGGAGCCAGGTACTTCTCCTGGTCTCCCATGGGGTGCAGGGCCCAAATACTCAGGCCATCCTCCACTGTACTCCCTGACCACAGCACAGAGCTGGCCTGGAAGAGGGGCAACCAGGACAGAATCCGGCACCCCAACCGGGACTAGAACCCGGGGTGCCGGTGCTGCAAGGCAGAGGATTAGCCTAGTGAGCCGCGGCACCGGCCGCTTTGTCTGTTCTTAAAACTCTTCAGAGACAGGTTCTATTTTATTGGGCAATCCAGAATTCTGCATTCACAGAGCTGCCCCCTTTCGTTTTCAAAACACTCACAGCTCTAGGGTCTCCTGTCCTATTTTTGTCCATCTCCTTATGTGACATCACTGTTTCCAGCTGTTCAAGACAAAAATCCAGGACTCATCCTTGATGACTCCTTTGACCCATTGCCTCTCCTCCCTCATAGTTCACTGTTGCATCGTTCTGTAAAATACATCTTAACTGTATCCACTCCCACCTACCTCTCTTAGTCACCACTGATCCACCTTACATCTAGACTTCTACAGTGACTTTCCAACTGGTCCGTCTGCCTTTAGTCTTCCCCACTAAAAACCAGTCTCCCCACAAGGGCCACTGGGAGCTTCTTGTCGCACAGGTAATAAGGACATTGCCATTTTAACACATCATGCTTTGTTTTTCCAATATTTACTGTGCTAGGACACATTTTCTGGTGGGCTAGACTCCACTTTTTTTTTTTAAATATTTATTTTATTTATTTGAAAGTCAGAGTCATAGAGATAGGAGGAGAGACAGGGAGAGAGAGAGAGAGAGAAAATCTTCCATCCACTGGTTCATTTCCCAAATGGCTGCAATGGCCCTGGCTGAGCCAGGCTGAAGCCAGGAACCAGAACACCATCCAGGTCTCCCACATGGGTGGCAGGGGCCCAAGAACCCAAGAACTTGGGTCATCTTCTGATGCTTTCCCAGGCGCATTAGCAGGGTGCTGGATTGGAAGTGGAGCAGCCAGGACATAGAGAAGCACCTATAAGGGATGCCGGTGTTGCAGTGGTGACTTTCCCCACCACACCTCAATGCCGGCCCCAACCCCACATTGCAGATCCTTTCACCTCCTTATTTCTCGCCTGCAGTTTGCTTGGCTCAGTTTCACCTCCTGCTAATTTCTACCCTCTTGGCAATGTGTTCATTTGTGTTGAGGGCTGACGCCTTGGGAGGGCAGTGGACCAGGAGCAGTCAAGGAATCAGGAGGGTGTGGGTCTGCCAGTAACTACAGTGGAATCTTGGGCCTCATTTTCTTCATTGGTAAAACCCCAGGAGTGATCTCCGAGGCCCATTCCTAGGTTTACAATATTATGGCTCAGAAGGTGTTTTATGTCGACTTTGATGGAGGTTTTCACCCGGGCCTCTCCTGGACCACTTCCTTTCTGTCCATTTACTTGTTTCACAGGTCTTACATATCGAGGTTAGAACAACATCATAAAACAGACCAGACAAATTCTGCTGATGCCAAGGTCTTTAGCAGAGCTGGCTTAGGCTCTGTGACTTTCCCTTCCCCTTGGAAATGTCTGGACTGTATTCGTTCATTCACATATTGATCTAAGAAATAGCTGCAGAGTACCTACTATGTGCTAAATTCTATGTTGGGCATTGGGAGCAGACATAGTCTAGACTCTCATGAAACAAACAGCAATGACAAATCTAAGATGACAGCAGAGACAGGCACCATGAAAGGAAAGTATATGGTGGTACGAGAACAAACATTAGTGAAACAAACATCATGAATATTAGTTCTCTGAAGAAATATCAAGAAGATCTAAGTGATGAGTAGCAGAAGAAGAGGGATGGCTAGAGTGGACAATATAGCGAATGGGTATGCAAATGTTTTGTGGTACAGATAGGGTGACATATTCCAGGCCTGAAGGATCAGGGTGCTTGTTGTGCAGAGAGCAAAGAGATTTACCCCCTCCTTCTAAACAGACAAAAAAAAATTTTCCTAAAAAAAAAAAAAAAAGAAAAAAAAAAAAGAACAGCAGGTGGAGTTGGGATCTGGGAGAAAGAAGAAGGCAGGGAGCCAAGGCACGCTGACCTCTTGCAGAAGACTGCTTCTTCCTCGTTGGAGCTCCTCAGACAAGGTTCTTCCTCAAGCCATGTGAGCAAGCGTAGCTGGGAGGAGAGCATCGATGGGAGGGTTGCTTCCTCTGGGCTGCGCTGGGGAGACCCCGTCAGAATCACGAAGAAAAGTCTCCATCGGTTGTTGCTTGGCACCGAGACCTGAGCATGAGGAATCCAGCAAGGAATTCATTCTTGCCCTGCTCTTGGCTGGCCGTGCCACAGAGCATGGCTGTGGGGTGTGTGTGTGTGTGTGTGTGTGTGTGTTCTGGCTGACAGCCTGCCCCTAATCAACCAAATGAAGATGTACTCCAGAGTGAGCACAAAGCAGTTGCTCGAAAAAGAAAACCAGGAGATCCGAGACATGACTCCAAGCCAGCAGGCATTGCCTTCCAATTATTCCGAGAGAGAAATCCAAGTTTGTTTTCCTCTGTAGAAATAATACAGTCAAGAGAGGCTCTAAGCTCCAGGATAAAGTTTAGGAACCATAAATGGAGGTGATTCACAACCGTGGTAATTACCCCCCCCCCCCCTCCATGCTGTATGACTCACAGTGGATCAATAATCCAAATGGCTTTCTTCTCATTAGGCCCCAGGTGGGAAATTCTGCCGAAGTTGTAGGAGGAGAGTTAATGTGTAGTAACTGAATTTGGCTTCACAGATGCTAAGCGGCCCCACAAGTTTAAAACAAACTACCTGCTTTACAGACTCACATAATTCTCCATGGCAGAGGGGATAATCGAGAGAGTGATTGGAAGCTTCTAGAAAATAAGCAGTTCTGCCTCCACCGGTGGGAAATTTCAGATGCAAGGCAGGCCAGGCCTGTTGTGAAGTGTGAATGTTCGCGTGTTCAATAAACATTTA